GTGGGTCAGGAAGGCAGGAAGCAGCCCATTGGTTCTTTTTGCTTCCAAGTATTTCTTGTAATAAAGTTTTAAAGACTCAGTTCCAACACTTGCTTTCAATTTTATTCCATTTATATAAAGCTAAATCAGAACAACAGTGCTTTATATTCTATGAGAAAAGACCGTACAATCCCTATGAATGAGCATGAGTGAGCACTTGGCAACAGTGGGAAAGAAAACATCCTTTTTAACAGGAAGAACCGGCTGGAGAAGGGGCAGCCGGCCCAAGTCTGTGTGAAGCATGCTGTCTTTGTTTCATTCACAGATGTGAGTTTTTTTCACAAGGCCACTATTCACCTGCACGTATTAGGCAGTAGCACATTTGCTGCTAGCTTGTAACTTGCTGTCCTGACGGTTTATATCACACAGGTGCTTTCATTTAGCTGAAAGCACCCTTTTCTTTTGTTATGGGTGCAGCATACAGACCAATTTGTACATACGGATGTTATAGAAGTTTATCACTTGTTGGTGCAGACTCTCTTAAAGTTGCACTTTGTTTTTTAAGGGTAGAAGAAAACGTCTGGCTCCTGAAGCCGTCCCCATCCTTCTGCACACTATAAAGGAGGAACAGAGAGGTGCAGACATTCAGTGAAAATAATGGTTTACATTCTTTTGTCTCTGACAGTTTTTAAAAACATATTGTGTGTAACTTTTCTGGTGCTGTAGTAACATTTGAAATTGTGTTCTTCTAGATTTGGAGATGCCTTCTACTGATGTTCATGCTCCAGTGCCTCTGCAAGACACACCCCCATATGAACAGGTCGTGGCAATGTTTAACAAGCTGCTGGCAGAGAAGGATGAGGTCAAACAGAATCAAAGAATCCTGCATTTCTATTCAAATCTGTTGTTTTCATAGAAACTATAAATATCTTTTAATACACTTTTAGAAAATCAAGGATCTGAAAAGCATCCTGCAGAGAGAGAGGGCCAGAATGCGGCTGATGAAGTTCCGTATGAACAGCAAAATCAGAGAACTGAAAAGAAAGTATGTAGCAGTTCGGTTATATCTGTCATTGCAGTAAAAACAGTACATTTAGTAAATATGAATGTGCTTCCTTTCAGACTTGAACAGCAGCAGAACAGTAGCGGTGACCAAGGCGATC